GGGCGAGCGATAATCAGAACTGCTCACACTGGGGCCTCCATGAGCTCTAGTTCGAGCCAAGTTCAGGCTCTTATTGGTGCTTATAGGTCCGACCACGGTATTGAACCTGCGCCATGATGGTACGCGATGGCGCCGCCATCCGTAATTAACCCAATCTATACTTGTTGAACATCCGAACTCATAATGGGACTACACAGAATGATAGGTTGAGTCGTAACCGCACATCACGCACAGTATCATACAGAGAAAATTGTGGAAAGTTATGGCGGGAAACGTTCAGCGCAATCATTGCCTGCTGTACTTGCCGGTTGTCACGCTCTAATAGTACAGGTGATGCACCTTGATGTTTGCGTTTCTCCTCCTTCAAGTCTTTCCTCTAACGTAACATCAGTGATGTTTGAGGTACTTGCGGTGTGTACGAAAGTACTGAGTACTTTTGAGAGTACTCAGTCTCACTCAAACGAGTGTGACACTGCAGATTGCGCGCGCACAACGAACCGGGCTTAACCGCGCTACGACCCTGCCTTACTCAAGATACAAAGTTTTCACGGCAATTGATGTTCCTATGTGCGAAAAAGAAGTTACCATTAATTCGCAATCGAAGTTCCTGAATCTCTTTGTCGAAAATGGAGTCCCTAAACCGATATGTTGACGAAATTGTAGAGAATGTCATGTATAGGCCGTACAATTCGGGATAACTCGAGCCACGTGCCGTGTGCGTCTGCGTGCTACTTTCGCACGCAGACCCAAGTTCTGGTATGCAGGGATGGGCATTCGCCTCTGGGCTGATCCCGGCCGACCCGGACCCCGGGTGGCCTACAATTGGCCGCCCCGTCCCGCCCGACCAATACCCCGGCTTCGTGAATTACCCTCCTGTCCCGACGTGATTTCCGGTTCCCCGGCCGGAATTTCCGGCCCGGAAAGTCGGAATCCCTTGACTCCCTAGGCTCTACACTCCATAAGAACGCAACATGCGGATAAAATTGTGTACTTATCATGATCGTGCATTGAAAGAATTACTACACTAATGAATCTAATCACCCCCTAGCAACACTCTGTTGCCAATATCCTCATGGCTGAGCCATGATGGCTCACGAATCGAGTCCATAGTGTAGACTCTGTAAGTGAATCTACTAAGCATGTCAAATTGATATTGTTAATAATGTGTTATGCAATTACTCTAGCAGTTTAACTGCTGCAGTGAGCCACTGGCTCGACAATGAACATGAATTACGAGCGTAATAGAACCAAAGTTCGGAGGCGGTCGGCCGTAAGCCTTGAACGCTCCCGACGAGACAAGCACCCCGCTAGACTGAAGACTGATTCTGAGGACACGCTAGTGCAAGGGAAGCTACCTAAAAGCTTAGCGACAGTGCTGACAGGCGACAAGTCATCACAGCGTATCCAGAAACGCTCGTAGCGGGATGATTTGGCATCCCTCTCAGCGTGCTTGGTCTTCTTCTTAGGCGGGGAGCTACTGTCCGATGGGACAGCGAAACTGCGAGCTCTCATCTCGTATTCACAGAAGATAGTCATCATCTCATCCTCGTAACGCTCCTCGGCACTCATTCGATGGTGCTGTTGATCTGCCGGCTGGTCGAAAAAGTCATTGATGAGACTGTCGAACGAGTCCACTGGCTTCTGCTGCGAGTCCATCTCACTAGTCTTCTTCTCCGTATCTTCACATTTATCCAAATTGAGAGCCTCTAAGCATTTAAGTGTTGCTTTTCGCCCCTCCACGTCACTTACATGATACGGGTCATTAGCGGGCTGGCGAGATCGAGTCGTAGGGTTGAGATAGTACGCAGCCTTCACAAAGTCGCTCTCAGTCAAGTAGGCGAAGTAGTGGTTTAGGCGGTCCAGAAGCACATCCTCGAGGTCTCTTACCGTGCGAACCT